AGCCTCTGCTTAAAGACCTCCAAGGAAGGAGACTCCCTATGAATCCTATGGGGCCTGAATGTTAGTGAATCTCCGGGGTGTGTGTGTGTCAGAACAGATCCCCTGCAAAAACAGAGGGCCGACTGTACATTCTTATAATAAATATTAACTAGTTTATTAGTTACATAATAGTTTACATTACATATAATGTAGAACTGTCCTGTCTCTCTTAGTATAGAATAAACACATCCTATATGAATCCTATCTATCTATAGAGGAGTGATGCACTCTCTTTCCCATCATTTCAGAAGCAGCTTAGAAAACAGCCTAGGAAGCACAAAGAAAGGAATGGTAGAAAACAGTCCATTAGACTTCTCGACTCTATCTGACTTGAGATACTGTATGTACTCATGTATAAGTATAGAAAATTTAGTAAAAAATTGACCCAAAAAACATTTATGCTGCACACCCATTATGGGCTGGTGAAGGCAATGCCAAATCTGGAAGAAGTTCTGACACATGATCATATTTAATCTCATTGTCAGATTATATAAATCCATGGCTTGAAGGCTTTAAGCCAAAGAAGTTAGAATGTAAACATGTAGTGTTATTGGCTGTAAGCAATCCATCCTTACTGGATGGGACTTTTGATTTCTTGGAAACATTGATTAGTGTAAGTGTAGGTCGATAAAGGCTTTTGTGTTTGCATTTAAATGTTAATCAATCATGTTTTATTAAAAATTTAAAATCATAAGTGAGGGACAAATACTTGGAAAATGTTCTGGGTCTGTTGTACATGGGTATGCAGGAGAACTCATTTAATAGTGAAACCACCATTTATCAGCACTAGTTGAATGCAATATGACTTTTTTAGTGCAACAGCTTTGCATGCCAACAACATTTAGTTATCATGATGATTTGCTAGTAAAAGGGCTTATAGCTAGGGGACAAAGAAAGATGGTAAGTACAGACTCTGAGAAGTTTTCACTACCATTATGAGTTGACATCCCATCTCCATATGGTTGGTTTTGTGCAAATACATCCAGTGAGCACTGCACATATTGGGCTTCTGTTGTTCAAAATGTAGATCAGTGCTTCTCAAACTACCTGATCTGAGGGACCAGCATTATTATTATTATTATTATTATTATTATTATTATTATTATTATTATTATTATTTC